GAAGACAGCCCAAATACCCCCCGGAAGAGCGCCCCCAGGAGAAACAAGCTTGACCACTATGCCATCATCAAATTTCCCCTGACCACTGAGTCAGCCATGAAGAAGATAAAAGACAACAACAAACTTGTGTGCATTGTGGAAGTCAAGGCCAATAAGCACCAAATTAAACAAGCTATAAAGAAGCTCTATGACATTGATGTGGCCAAGATCAACACTTTGATTAGGCCTGATGGAGAGAAGAAGGCCTATCTTTGACTTGTTCCTAACTATGATGCTTTGGATGTTGCCAACAAATTGGGATGATCTAAAATGAGTCCATCTGGCTAAATCTAAACACAAATTTTTCACACACACACACACACACACACAAATTTGTTCACTTCTGTCCCAAGTCTACTCTTCTATTTTTGTTCTTGCCTTGTGTTGTTCTATTGCTATGTGTTTACTTGTCAACTGCCATTATTAATGTTGTGTATGTTGTTGTTATGTGCCATATGTACAACAGCTCTAAACTCTGTTCTATCCTATGCCAACCTTATTGTGTCTACCACACCTACCCCAATACCCCAAGTCACTGAATCAATCCATATCATAGAGGGTCTTCCTTTCTTGCACTCTCCCTCCACCCGCCCAAACATGGCATCTGTCTCCAAGGTCTTGTCCCTCCTTGCAACATGTTCAAAATATGTCAGATGAAGGTTCAGAAACCTTGCCTCCAAGGAGCATCCTGGTTTCACCCTCTTTAGCATGAATGTTTGTTTTCTTAGCAGTCCATGGCATATTCAATACTCTTCTCCAACACCACACTTCAAAGGCATTCATTCTCCTTCTATCATCCCTAGTCATTGTCCAGCTTCCTGATGCACAGTATAGTTGAGTCAATTTTTAATCTAGAACTGCCCCACAGGATTTTCTAGGCAGTCTTAACAGGAATAGATCACCAAGTCTTAAACCGCAAAGCCATTAGGTAGTTGGAACCACTATCTTTCAGTAATAAGCTTGCTTAACTATTGTATCATCAGAGCTCTTTTCAATTCCCTAGTGGATTCTAATTGTTTTAAGGTTTTATAAATCACAAATGCTAAAAAGCATAGAATCTGGCACATAGTAGGCACTCAATAAAACTGAATGAATGAATGAATGACTAAGATCTGTCTTGTCTAGGAGAATCCCCCCTTATGAGGCAAGCTTTCAGTAGTGTTTCCTCAATTTTGACAAGCTATTCAGACAATGGGGATGGGATAGGACATTCAGAAATCAGAAGGTTAAGGAGCAGGATTTCTCTGGAGAACTCACCACAATGAGCAAGCAGCGGCTTTCTTTTATGGCACCACAGCATCCCAGGAAACCCAGGACCATGATAATGGCACCCACAGCTATCAAGAGATTTGCAGGACCATGAGATTGAATATGGAAATCCCCATGGCTTAAAATCTGAAAAAAGAAAAGATTAATGATAAACAATCCTTAACCTTGATGTTTATTTTGCTCATACAGCAAATATTCATTGAGTTCTACTATATGCAAGGCCACTAAGGTATTTCTAAACTTGGAGATACTTCTGTGATCTAAACAAA